GGGTGCACTCTGTGCTAGTGAGCAGTGTGATATTTATTATACCTGATCCCTTCTGGGATTTTTAAAGAGGGGGGTGGAGTGGGGTAGAGAGGTAAGTATTGGTACATTTATCTATAACTCCGAGTTACCATAAATAACATAAAAATGGAAACATGTGCAAAATTTCTTGCAACGACCTTTCCATCAAATGCAGTAAGTCACATCAGTCATTTCTTCGGCAGACCAAAACTGTACGTTTTTTTGGACTACTTTCTTTTTGTGATATCAGACTCTCTGTAAAAAAATTGGCAAGAAAAAGAGCTGGACAGAAAACATACTATGCAGAGAGACAAAAAGGCCACGCTAAGTTAGACAAATTGTACAATATTGCATATCAGCACACACACACACACACGCACACACACATACAGGAATATATAGAGAAAGTTGATATTGTCTAAGACAGTCACCTATTGTCAAGGAGAAAAGTGGTTACCTTAGGCAGGACTAAACAAAATGAAGAAAACAAACCGTTCCCTATTGAGGTCTCAACTGGAGGCAGTCACAGGGTTAGCTTAGGACTGTTGAGATGCCCGGGTTTTTTTAGAAGTGGGGCGCGGAAGGAGACTGAAAGGGAGGTATTGAGGCTGCTGGGAGTGTTTTTACAAAACGTATCAGACCAGGAAGCAGGAAGACTGTGCAGTGCTAGGGTAAACAAAACAAAATGTGTTAAATGAAAAGACAGGGTAAAACAAAGAAATGGGTTGCCATCACTTAGTGAACAAGCAACAATTCTGTTGCAAGTTCATGTCAATGTCGATTGCTACCGACTTGGTAAACAGAGCGACTGTTCATTTCACTTACGATTCATCTACGAGTCTGGTTAGGGTTGTGGGCAAGCCCAATGGAAAAAAGACAGTTCACACACCTCCCTCACCAGCAGCTGAAAATTTGTTATCGACTGGTTAACTTAGGTAAACAGCGGGAGGGACCTACGCAACATAATAGTTCATTCATTGGATGGACTAACAATAACGACAGGTGAATAAATTGTGGAGACCCTCCACAGGGCCAGGGGCCGATATGTAATTTATGGCAATGTGTCAGGCAATCAGAGATTGGCATGGCCATCTTAGACAGATTTTTGGGGCTGTTGGTTGCAAGGGGGGAAATGGAAAGTGGTCATTTGTACAGGTAGCTGTCTTGGAAGTTTGACTGTACAGATATATATATGTATA